CCGTCAAAAAAAAAAAAAAAAAAAAAAAAAAGTTTGCTGTGGTTTATAATCTAATTCCCCTTTTACTCTCTTAAGATCTTCAAGAAGCAGACTTTGAGACTGAGGCTTACATCCAGACAGCTTATTTTGCCAAGTGATTCTAAAGAGCAGGAGTGAACACCTGGACAGAATGAAACAGGTAATCCACGGGTAGTTACTCAGATGGTCATTGTGAGCTACTGGAGCAAAGTACTATTAAATAACTGTTAAGGAGGTTGGTCAAACCCTTTCAGAACTGTCTGCTGGAAGAATGGGAAAAGGGAGTCAATATGATCTAGATTTCTCTCCTTGCCCAAATCTCACGTTGAATTGTAATCCCCCGTGTTGGAGGATGGACCTGGTGGAGGGTGATTGGGTCATGGGAGTGGATTTCTCCCTTGCTGTTCTTGTGATAGCAAGTGAGTTCTCATCAGATCTGGTTGTTTAAAAGTCTGTAGCACCTCCCACTTCATTTTCTTCCTCCTGCTCCTGCCATGTAGGACGTGCCTACTTCCCCTTTGTCTTCTACCATGATTGTAAGTTTCCTGAGGCCTCCCAGCCATGCTGCTTGTACAGCCTCCAGAACTGTGAGTCAATCAAACCTCTTGTCTTTTTAAATTACCCAGTTTCAGCCATCTCTTTATAGTAGTACATGAACAGACTAATACAAGAGTGATTTTCATCACCCTCTGTCCCTCCTTGGTTAAAGGTTGCCCTTGGAGTGTTAACTCACTTGCACTGCCTGGTTTACCTGTGTATCCTTGTATCCAAATGACTGAGTGGATTCCTGCTGGCAACCCAGGAGTGGCATAGCAGATAATCCTTTGCCAGGAAGTGAGAGAGAGGAGGAACACCTGAAGCAAGATGCTATCATTTATAACTCTGTACAGCTGTTTGCTGCATTAATGGCTAAAATAAAATGGCAGTTCAAGACACTATGAGGTGTGCCCCAAGGGGTGCCTAATATACCTTCCTTGGAAGCTTCATTGCCAGTTAAGGTAGGTTAAATTTCTCTTAAGAACTTCTGGCAATTTTCCATCTTCAAGCCTCTTTCCCTGCATTAAGAAAATTTTGAAGTACATAAAATTATAAAGAATGATGTAATAGAACCCTATGTACACAGCTTTAACAACTGTCAATATTCCACTACTCTTATTTCATCAACTCCTCTCTTACCTTTCTTTCTGGTGTATTTTAAAGCAAATACAATGCAATATATTAATGTTTATCTATAAGAACTTTAATATATGTCTCTATTAGATAAGAACTTTTAAATCTAATCACAATATCATTATTACACTTGGCAAAATAAATGTAATGCCAACTTCATTTTTTTCCTTTTTCCAAAATGCTTCTTATACAGTTGCTTTATTTGAGGTAGAATCTTAACATTGATTTGGTTTGATTTTTTTTAATTTACTCTATGATGTTGTATGTTTGGGAGGGGGTGTGTGTATTCCCAACACCCTATTTATTTGTTGAAGCAACAGCAACTGGATCATGTGTCCTGTGGAATTTCCTGTACTGTCTCACTGACTGTTAATGATTCCATGGTATTTGTATAAGATACTCTTCCACACCAGAGTTTTTAACCTGGGTATCCCAGACCTGTAGAATTCAAGAATTGTGTAACTATGGATTGGATGAAAAGCATCTTTATGTTCCCTGACCACTAACAGAAATTTAGCATTTCCTTTATGTAGGCAACAAATCACAGAAGTATTAGCACTGCTGTGTATACTTCTATTTGTCATAAGTAAACAAGTAAACATTTCCATATGATATTACAGTTGTTGCAGATACCTTGAAATGCTATTTTCTTTTATCATTATTTTGCTAATTATTTTACATAAACATTTAACTGTGTATATTAATATACCACTAGTATCTAAGTAATCAGCCTTCTTGTCCACAATCCTGGTTAGCCAACTAGGAAACAAACCTGAGCCTAATAATTATTTATTGACAACACCGTGTCTTGGTTTGGATAGACCACATGAGAGTTCTCAACTTTTTTTATTAAAAGGCAGTCTTTTGTAACACAAATAGTTACACAAGCTATGAATGTAGACCAAGCAAGTTCAAATGTATCTTACAGATGAGGTAAATACCGTGTTTGCTATTTAATGTAACTTCTAATTCTACAAGTAGATTGTGTACTTCCAGCTCTAAGCTCTGTGAGTAGTAGAAACGTTCTTATTTTTTTTTTTCTTGGTACCCTTTGAACACTATCTTTGTTATGAAACAAAAACTTTCACATACTAAGATATTAGCAGTGAAATTCAATTTTAGGGAGACACTATATGTGAGAAAAATCTTGGAAATTTGTGTGTTGAAATGAATTCTGATGTATTTCTTTTGACAAGTCTAAATCAGCTAAAAATTATTGCACCCAATCTGTCACTTGGAGATGAAGAAAATAAAAAGTAATGAAAAAATATTCTTTGTTAGAGAGAATTCCTTTTTATTATTTTATTTAAAAATTTATAGAAATTCTTAAGTTGTTGAAAATCATTTATCAAGTTATAGGTGACAAGAAGACATTGGGGATTCTCATTGTACTTGTCTTTCCTTACATATAATTCCTAGGTAAGTAATTTTGTTTCTTTAGTAAGAAAAAAAAAACATGATAAAATGTTGAATTATTTCTACACAGTAGTAATTTGAGTGTATATTTTATTATTTTTCCCTGTATTTTTAATTTTCTCAGTGTTAAAAAATAAAAATCAATGACACCATTGCTACCTCCAGGTGCGATACAATAAAGAAGACAAGCAAGTAAAACACCATTTTGGAAAGTGTGTGTCTCATGCTATGTTAGAGGGATAGACTATGTGCTATGAGAGCAGAGAGGTTCGTGCCTAACTGATAGGAACTAGGGAACAGCTTCCCAAAGGCATGGCTAGCAATTAAGAGATGAAAAGGAGTTGATGAACTGGGAACCATAGGGTTGGGTTTCTGCTGAAGGCAGTAAGAAGAGTATTTACAAAGGAAAGACAGCCAGAGAGAAAATGATATTTTGGAGAAACTGGAAGGAATTTTTAATGTCTCAGGTTCAAAGGGTGTGGGAAGGAGTTGTGACAGTGAGGCTAGAAAGGCAGGCAAGGGTCAGATGCTGACAGGAAGTAGATTCAACTCTCAGGAGTCTCAAGTTTATCATGGGTGATATTGAATAAAAAAGCATCTTTATGTTCCCTGACCACTAACAGAAATTTAGCATTTCCTTTATGTAGGCAACAAATCGCAGATGTATTAGCACTGCTATATAGACTTCTATTTGGCTTAAGTAAACAAGTAAACATTTCCATGTCATATTAGGCATACTAAACATTACCAGGTGTAGATTATAGAGAGATCATTGTAGGGAGACCAAATAGCTTGATCTTATAATAGGCTAGTTGAAAAGTGATGATCTGAACTAAGAAGAGAAGGAAGAAGGGAATAGGGGAGGAAATCAAATGTAGGAACCAAAAACTGCAGGACTAATTACATGTGACTGTGAGGAACAGAGAGAATAAGCAGATGACTAGGTGAGTAATTTTGAATGAACTAGGACTTCTACTATGGTTTGACAAATGTTATTAAAGGCACACAATATAAATGTGACCTATTACCCTGCATATTTTTTGAAAGATTACCTTAAATATTTCAAATATTAACCAAAACTAGATTTCTAAGAAGTTACAATTTATTAATAATTATCAAGATTTAAGTACTATAATATTAATGAGTTGCCATTTGCTACACTGTAAAATTTAGAATCCAAACGATAATTAATGAGACACTTTCTATTTTGACATCAACTGTTATTAAAATAATATCTGAAGGAAATAATTAAATGTATCTATGTGATAAAGAGTTCTTCCTCACCACATATTTTTTCACAGTCATTCATTTAATGTTGAAACGCTCAGATCTATATTGACTCTAAATCAGGGGTTCTCAAAGTTTAGCCTGCATCAGGGTCACTTGAAGGCTGTTGAAACTCAGGTTGCTGACCCAGAATTCTTAATTCAATAAATTTGGGGTAGGATTTAGGAACGTGCCTTTCTCAGAAGTTCTTACTTGATGTGGATGCTGATGGTCTAGGAACCACACTTTGAGAATCACTGTTGTAAAATATGTGAATTTATTTAGTCATTAATTCAACCATTATATAAAAATTTAGAATGAGTACCTACTATGTATCAAAACCTGGAAATAAAAAAGTGGGGAAGCTACATTTTTTTTTGAAGCGAAGGTGATTATTCTGAGTGAATGTGTAAGTTTAGTTTACATCACAAATTAATCCAGTGTTTAGCTACTACTTGCACTTTCATATTTCTTTTTTTTTTTTTAAGGAGATAACTTTATTTATATGGGGATAGATAGTTGCTTTGATGTTGGTTTGAGAACTTCAACTCCAAAAGCAGGTTCTCTTTTAATTCAAGGCTAAGCTTGTAAATTAAACTGCCTTAAAGAAGAAAGAAGCATTGCAGAAAAAGGAAGGGAATGGGAAAAAATAAACACATGGTGGCTAATGCCTGTGATCCCAGCACTTTGGAAGGCCAAGGCATGCTGGAGGATCCCTTGAGGCCAGGAGTTCAAGATAACATAGGCAACATAGCAAGACCCCTTATCTACTTAAAAGAATTAACTGGACATGGTGATGCACATCTGTAGTCCCAGCTACTTAGGAGGCCTGAGGTAGGAAAATCACTTGAGCCCAGGAGTTGGAGGCTACAGCGATCTATGATCATGACACTGCACTCCAGCCTGGGTATCAGAGCAAGACCCTATCTCAGAAAAATTAAAAAAATGAGCAGCAGTGCAAATATCATTGGGAATTTCTTAGCCAAAACCAACTTTGGCAGTTTGGTTAGAGGAAAAAGTCTCTCTCTGATTCTATCACTTTTATCCCTAAATAGGTTTTATTAATCCTTAGTATCTGTGTTTTAAAACAAAAAAACCCATAATCTTGGACTCATCTCAATTTAATAATCATTTTGGGGGTGCTTTGTCCCAGGGCTAATTTTAGGACAAGTTCTCTTTTCAGAAAGAGAAACACTAGGTATGACTAGTGTCCCTTTTGCATATAATCACTTTGTGGGATAGCAGATAGCTCTAGGTTAGGAGTTCCCAAGCTCTAGTCTACTTTGAACACTCTTCAGACCTTAGCAGGAAGTTAGCCCTTTTCTAGGAACAAAGTGGGTGCCCAGGAACAAATTCAGGTATGTTTGGTCAAGATAGGCCTGCTCAAATCAATGCAAGTGGCAACTAAAAGGGACAGCCAAGGTTGTCACATAGTGATCAAGATGCTCCATCTACCAGTTACATAGACAGAAAAGTTCACTTTCATGCAGTTGCTTCAGTCTTCTGGGGTTAAAGGCAGATAAATAGTGTCTGTCTTACGTGTCTGTCTTACTGAACAGGCCTGTTTAGTGAATACCTTGGAAGCTGACTTTTTGCTTTCCTTTCATTTCAGTTAGCATCAGGAACTCACTGTTACAGATCTTTGGGCTCTAGAACTCATTGGGCTAGATCTTTCCCAATTCTGTCTTCAGAAGAGCCTGTTATTAAGAAATGCTTAAGCGTCCATTTTTTTAGGTGACTTAGAAAAGCAGGAACATTAGTGTTCACAGTAAGAAAATACTGTCATTGTGCTTTCACGTGTTTAGAGTACCCCCTTTCCAGAAGGAGTTACTCAGCTGTGTGGGAATGGCTCTTGTTCATCCAGCTTTGGCAAAGGGATGTTACCTGGAGGGGCCACAAAGTACTCCTCCACGACACGGTGGGAGTTTTGTAGTAATTCATCAGCACAGTTGCCTTCTACTACATTGTCGGATCTCAGGTATAGACATCTGTCCTCCAGGACCGACTCCATGGGCTCCACCCCGTCGGTGTCCACGGCGCCTAGCCAGTCGGTGAAGGCGATGGCTTTCTCCAGCCGCGCTACTGCCTCCCGGCTGCCAAAGTCCACAAGTGCTAGACGCTCCAGGTGCTCGATCATCTCGGCCGTGATTCGGCCACTGCCCTGAGGATCTGTCTTGGAGGTGAAGCCCCGGGGCCTGCCCAGCGGGGCCCGAAGGCCCAGCCACAACGCCCGCGCCCACATTTCTTCCTTCCTTGGCCCCCGTAGTGTCGCACTTTCATATTTCTACAGTATTTTTATGTCACTCAATTTTTTCCCATATAGAATGAATCAATTTTTATTTATCAAATCAAGATAATTATATTTAAAATGAAATGTAAAGCTATTTCACTAAATCTGAAAAGTGAGATAGATCTGAAGATCTTACATTTATAAATCGTGATTGAGATACTGTATTAGCTTGAAGGGACTTCTTTTACAAAATCCCACAAACTGAGTGGTTTAAATGACAGAGACTTAATCCTCAGAGTTCTGGAGGTGGAAAATCTGAGATCAAGGTGTTGACAGGGCTTACCTTCTGGTAAGGCTGCTTCTTCTGGCTTGCAAGTGGCTGTCTTCATGCTGTGTCCTCATGTGGCTTTTTCTCTGTGTCTGTGCTCTCCTGGTGTCTCTTTCTCATCTGATGAGGACATCAGTCATTTTGGATTAGGGCCCCAAGGGTGGGGGCCTCATTTTAACTTAAGTCTTTGAAGGCCCTATCTCAAGTACAGTCACATGGGTGAAGGCCCACCCTTATGACATTTCACTTTAATTACCACTTCAAAGGCCCTATCTCTATACACACTTACATTCTGAGGTACTGTGGGTTAGGACTTCAACATGCAAATTTTGGGTAAACGCAACTTATCCCGTAATAGATATTCACAGTTGTTAGGAGCAAGCATATCCTTGACATATAACTTTAAAAGTGACCCCTTTGAATTTGTGTCTAAAACATTCTTTTTTTCTTCTTTATGATCAGTCCTTTTCTAACCATGTATTAAGCGCTACTACATTTCCAGGGCTATCATAGGAGCCAAGGGAATAAAGGAAGCTTATTTTCTCTTCACAAAGGTTATTTCTACATATTTATTTATAAATTTCTCTATTTGTGAATTACAATGCATAGTCCTATAGAAGGCATCTTTTGTTAAAGGGTCGGTTTCTTCAGAAGATTCAAAACAGTCCATTTAATTTATAATGAGATTGAACTATCATATAACTCACAATATAACCTAACCTAATCCCTATTTGGGCTAAGGATACATTTGATTTTCTTGATGCAAGTGGCAAAACAATTCACACAAGGTCACTCAAAGGAAGACTCTTCTATAAAAAAACTACTTACGGAGATGTGGACAGGGTTCAGGAAACAAATGAGATACACTGAGGTGCACCAAGCCTAGCCATTACCACTCTTAGATCAGAAGGTTCAAAGGCAGGAAATTCTAATATTGGAGGCTGCTAAAAACTGGAATGAATCATGGAGGAAGGGACATACAGTGAGAGCTGTATATGGGAGGGTGAGTTAAGCTGCTCAGAGATAGGGCCCAAAGCAATGGAATAGTGAAAATATAACACTTAATGTCTCCCTCCTTCTGCCCTCTATTCCCCTGATGTTGCCTTTTTTTATTCAAATCCCGTAAAAAGCCAGGGAAAAAGGGAACTTGAGTGATGTAGTCCATTGGGATTAGCAAAGAAAGATGTAGAATACATGAAGAGAGAGGAGGACCAACAAATAACAGAAAACAGCCAGCACAGAAGCTTCAGTGGGGCTGAGATTACAGTCAGCACAGCCATTCGGATATGTTATTTACAGACAAGAATATGTGTATGTCAAGTATTGTTGGTATAAAATAAGCTTGTATTCTTCTGCCTCTAAAATTGAATCATGGAGAAGACTAAAAATTATGCACAATAGATTACAAAGCCAAAAAGAATAAACAATCATGAACTAAATCATGTACCAAGAAAAAAAAAAGTGGAGGCTCAGTCAAGGAGAGATCACTGGCGGATCACAAATTTATATTTTAACAAAAATCAATTGACCAATTTATTTAATGATGGCTTAACTAGTTTCCTGAGCTTATTATGCCCAGTGTCATGTTAACTCGATGGTTGATATATTTTCCCTGTCCTTGTGAGGATGTGCCCTACTGGAATCTATTTCTTTGAGAAGCCTTTGACAGTAGTCTTGGCAGTGTTCTCAGAGTGACAAGTCTTTCTGTCTTTGGAAAGAGTTATACAGTTTCAGAAACTGCTAAGGTAGCTGCATGGTACTTGAACTCTACACTTGGATAGTGCAAATACATTACTTGACAAGATACATGAATACCATAGAATAATAGGAAATCACCAAGTTTTTTTCCTCCAACTTTTAAGTTCAGGGTTACATGTGCAGGATGCGCAGGTTTGTTACATAGGTAAACGTGTGCCATGGCTACACCAATCATCTCATCACCTAGGTATTAAGTCCAGCATCCATTAGCTGGTCTTCCTGATGCTCTCCTCCTCCCAATCCCCACCCTCCAACAGGCCCCAGTGTTTGTTATTCTCCTCTAAGTAAGTGTCTATGTGTTCTCATCATTCAGCTCTCACTATAAGTAAGAACCTAGAATATTTGGTTTTCTGTTACTGCATTAGTTTGCTGAGAATAATGGCTTCCAGCTCCATCTATGTCCCCACAAAGGACATGATCTCATTCCTTTTAATGGCTACATAGTATTCCATGGTGAATACATTCTACATTTTCTTTATCCAGTCTATCACTGATGGGCATTTAGGTTGATCCCATGTCTTTGCTATTGTAAACTGTGCTGCAGTGAACATATGCATGCATGTATCTTTATAATAGAGTGATTTGTATTCCTTTGAGTATATACCCAGTAATAGAGTTGCTGGGTCAAATGGTATTTCTGCCTTTAGGTCTTCAAGGAATTGCTACACTGGCTTCCACAACAGTTGAATTAATATATACTCCTACCAACAGTGTAAAAGCATTCCTTTTTCTCCACAACATTGCCAGCATCTGTTGCTTTTTGACTTTTTAATAATAGCATTCTGACCAAGTATTTATGTATATAGAAAAACAAAAATTAGAAATTCTTCATAAAATATTTTTACCTCATTTATCAAAATAGTTGGAGCAATTGTAAATAAGAGAAAATCCACCATCTGATTAATTTACTCTTATCTTTGCACAATTTCTGGGCTTTCTAAAATGCAACATATTATTATTGATAAAACATTTCATATTTTAAACAAATTCTGTAACTTTATCTCCTCTGACAAATATTTCTAAGTTCAATCTAACTGAACCATAAGCACTAGAACTCATTATTTCCTTAGTGAATCATTTAGACAAATATACATCACTGCTGGAAATAATTAGCTAAATTACTAGATTTAATTCTATTTGTATAATTGTCATCTGCCTCTTCAAATATTTATAGTCATTATTTTATTTTTATTTTGCTACGTTTTAAATGGGACAAGGGCAAGATATGTTGGACAGTGATTAGTCCTGTAGGCTTGCAGTAGATTCCATGGATTTGAGCTTTGGCTCCTTCCATGCTGTTTACCTTAATGAAGCTTTTCAACTTCTACAAACTTTACCCTCTTTATCTGTAAAATGAGGAATAATAACAATATTTCTGCAAGAATTATTATGAGGAGTGCATGAAAAAGATATCTCGATTGGTCAGCAATTTAAATATTTTAATTATTGCTATTGATAGTACACATAGGGTGTTTATATCACTGGATATTATCAATCACAAACAACACAATATACAACGTTCTCATACTCTAGACTGACATGCTGCTTAATTTAGTGTAGAATATGCCTATGAATAACAGTAAATTAAATATTTTGGATTTAATGTTTCTCTTTTGCAATTATAGATCTTTTAAAATAATTTATAATTGGTGAATTGAGAAATAAGATTTTAATATTAAATAGTCCCTCTTATAAAAAACATATAATAGCTTAGTAATTTGGGTGAAATTTTAGAGAAAATAAATTCCTAAATGTTAAGAGTTTCCTGGCTGGGCATGGTGGCTCATATCTGTAATCCCAGTACTTTAGGAGGCTAAAGTGGGAGGATCATTTGAGGTCAGGAATTTGAGACCAGCCTGGGCAACATAGCATGACCCTATCTTTACAAAAAATAAAATAGAAAAATTAGGCATGGTGGCACATGCCAGTTGTCACAGCTACTTGGGAGGCTAAAGTGGGAAGATCATTTGAGCCCAGGAGTTTGAGGCTGTCATGAGCTATGAGTGCACCATTGCACTCCAGCCTGGACAACAGAGTTAGGCTCTGTCTCTAGGAAACATTTTTTAAAAAGTTTCCTCTAGTCAAATTCTGAGATGCTCTAAAAAATCAACATTTCCATCTGTTCTTTCTATCATTAGTGAAGCAGATGGTATAATATCCAAAGTGAAATAAAAATCATTTGGGCTCTCAAAAACTCTAATATGAGTATATAAGAAATTATTACTACTTCTGTTTGGTGAATTTTTTAAATGGAAGATAAATAATTATAGTCATAGATATTTTATTTTGCCCCCATAAAAACTTTAGGTCATTTGTGCCTAATCCCATGTATTTAAAAAGTAGACCCTCCAGGGAAAGATGATTCTAGAGATCAGAAATTCATATCCACAACCAGTATGCCTTGGCTTTTCTAGCATACTTTCTAACATACTAAAGTATGCTAGAAAATGTCATGTATGCATTCTTCATACACACACATACATAACATACACACACAGACACCCAAGTGAAAGTTGCTTAAACATTAAAGAAGAATTATTGGTTTTCATAAGTAGGTAACTCTGGAAGCCCCTTTACTTTCTGAGTTGGTTTCAATTCAACAATCTCATGGTATCTTTACAGATCCAGTTTTTTGGTATTTATATTCTCCCATTGTCAACTTCATCTTAGAGCTTTCCTCATGGTGACAGAATTGCTGCAGCAATTCTAGTGTTTATAACCATACATCATCCTGAAATAAGAGTGTTTCTTCCCAGCATTCTAAGCAAGAGTCCTAAAATTCTCTTGTCAAAGTTCAGCTTCTGATTGGATCAGTTAAGATCGCCTTCATTCTTTTGAAGTAACCACTATGTAGGGGATTAGAAATGTACTGATCGATTTAGGTCAATCAGATGCCATGCTCTCAAGTTTAACTTTTGTTATAATATCTGGGCTACGTAGTGGAATT